ATCTTCAGGGCAACTACAAGAAAAATCATCCATTTTTAAAAAAAAAGTTGGAGAGAAACAGCGAAAAAACGGAGGGAGTGAGTATAACATACCCACCGCGTTCAAACCCGGGTTAATGTGGTACAATATAGGCCAGAAGCTATTATGAATTATTTTCTTCTTCATTCACATCATTGCATTCTTTGGGTAATTCTTAAGCCAAGACGTGATTTTTAGAAATAGTTTGTACATCAAGTATAGGATTAAGTTCTCTGGAAGATTTCCCATTTACAGAGATTATCATTAAGTGTGAAATATGTTGTATAGTCAGATATGCTTGTATCATCTATCTTTTAATGGAAATCTAAATATTAGGATCTCATCCTATCTTCTTTGTGGTAAACAACTTGCTACATAAAATAAGTTTATTGAGAAAGTATTTTCCAGCACCTATTAAAATTTTAGGCTTTCTACGTTAAATTTGGTCAAATTTAAACTCAACTGGAAGAGACTTTAGGAAGAGAAAAAATAACTCAAATCAGAGTACGAATATGACATCCACAACATGTTTTTCCATGGAATAGCAAACAAGCAAATAGAAAGAATGAAATGCTCGGAAGCTAAAGATAAATTTAAAGAAAGGGCTTGCAATAGCTTTCTGCAGATCGTTCTTGGATATCATTTCATAATGTATCCAGCAAAAGCTATCAGGAACAGTTCTATATCTTCCATTCTGCTCAACCGATTGTTGAAATTTAACTTGCGTTTTCCATGTCCTGAAAGCTTGGCTTTATATATTAGATTTATATATAGCATTGTTCTAACATAGGTATTTTGACACAAAAATAAGATTTTTTTTTTAAATAACAAATTTTTTTTTTCATATTTCGATTCTGTAACTCAAATCATGCCAAAGTGTCAAGTTTTGTAAAAGTGCACAAGTAGTATTTAAAAAATTAGCTCTCAAAATTTTACCTCCTCCATGTTAATCGAATTTAGTATATAATTATTAATATCTCTTTTTTTTTATTAAAGTTATATGATTTTTCCTTTCGCATTTCAAAAATTTAGGTTCATTCCAATTAAAATTCACCCATTTTTTTATGATTTATGTTTAAAATTTGTATTTTTAAATGATTCTTATAAATTTTTCAAAAATTTTGAATTATGACCTATAAAATGTTTACCATAATCTTAAAGTAGATGTATTTCTAAGCATACCTGCAAAGAATGAGAGTTTTTTATTCAAAATTTCCTAAGAGTTATCTGAATGTATGTATTGCTGCATTTTGAAATTTGGCATATTTGTTCTAAGCGATAATAACGAAAATGTGGTTTACACACTTTCTTAAAATTATTTGAAAGTATGAACGATGACTTTTTTACCCCGCTCGTGGAAAATGAAGAAAAGGAAAGGAAAACTGCTTGCTATAAATTAAGAACTTTGCGAAATGAATTATTCTTGGCACAAACTGGAAAAAAATTTGGCAAGATAAATTTTTCCATAGATTTCTCACCAAAAATTACAAAATTTAATATCTAGGCATAATTTGAGTCGTCGAATCGAAATATGGAAAAAATTGATATGTTATTTCAGAAAAAAGTCCGATTTTGTGTCAAAATGCCTATGTTAGAACAATGCTATATATATAGGGGCGTGCCCGATAGGACAGTGTGGCGAAATTTGTCTTCTTTGGGCTATGCTAGCAGAAGACTGACAGCACGACATTGCCTGCAGCAACTCTTGTGGGCTCGTGAGCATATCGGTTGGTCCCTAAACGAATGGAAAACCATGGCTTGGTCAGATGAGTCACGATTTCAGTTGGTAAGAGCTGATGGTAGGGTTCGAGTGTGGCGCAGACGTCACGAAGTCATGGACCCAAGATTCAACAAGGCACTGTTCAAGCTGGTGGTGGTTCCATAATGGTCTGGGCTGTTTTACATGGCATTGACTCGGTCCTCTGGTGCAACTGAACCGATCATTGACTGGAAATGGATACCTTCAGCTACTTGGAGATCACTTACAGCCATTCATACACTTCACGTACTCAAACAACGATGGGATTTTTATGGATGACAATGCGCCATGTCACCGGGCCACAATTGTTCACGATTGGTTAGAAGAACATTCTGGACAATTCCAGCGAATGATCTGGCCACCTAGATCGCCCGACATGAATCCCATCAAACATTTATGGGACATCATCGAGAGGTCAGTTCGTGCCCAAAACCCTGCACCGTCAACACTTTCACAATTATGGACGTCTATAGAGGCAGCATGGCTCAATATTCCTGCAGGGGACTTCCAACAACTTGTTGAGTCCATGTCACGTCAAGTTGCTGCACTTCGCTGGGCAAAAGGAGGACCGACAAAATATTAGGAGGTATCCCATGACTTTTGTCACTTCAGTGTATATCTCTGCCCTGACATAAAGGCAGTGGCATCTTTAAAATGTAGTAATTAAAAACTAATATTGAGTGTTTCGAGGTGCACTGGCTCTTATCTAGATGCACCTATGTACCAAATTTCGTAGCCGTGGGTCTATTAGCTTACGTGCAGCTCGAACGAAAGACACACACACACACACACACACAGACAGACTCTTTGTTTTATTATATGTAAAGATTTATATATAGCATTGTTCTAACATAGGTATTTTAACATAGGAAATTTTGACAAATACTCCAGTAGAACGGGAGATATAAAACTTTTTTTTTGTGTGTGTGTGTGCAAGTTATACCTTATATCTATCATATCTGTATGTTATAATAATCATCATTAGCCAGCCAAGCATGTTGGCATAAATTGAAAACATACTTTTTTTTATGTATTAACTGTTGGTTTTATTTGCATTTCAGTAGTATAGCTAAACTTTGGTAAGCTATCATTTGGAATCCAGCAGATGGGTCACCACAAAAGCTCTAACCTTCATAATAGTTAACATGGTTTTTAGCATGTGAATCTAAACTGTTTAATTTATTCTTTATTTACATTAGAGAAATATGGTATATAATGGCTGAAATAATATGTGTGTTGTGATGGAGAATAAGATAGATACAACATAGGTCTTCTTAAACATAGTGACAAATGTTAAACTATTGTCTTTGCACCTAGTAAATTTTTTTGTATTGTTTGATTATTCAGCCAACTCTGACAGGAATCTACATAGTAGGTAGTAGGTAGTCCAGAATAATAATGAAGAATTAATGACCTTGAGGAAATCAAAATTTGCCAAAAATGCTCAATATTGAGTTGTTTGTTATATTAAACATTTCTTTCATTGTAGTTGTTTCAGTTGCTTCATTTTTGTCGTAACATTTTCTCTTTATAGATAGATATATCTTGTTTAGTTACAAAATGCCATTGTTCAAGTTCTGCAACTGTTGTGTCAAGAATTCCACTAAACTGTGGAACTGAATTCATCACATTTCTTCACAGATTCCATTAACAGGATAATTTTGCCTTCTATAATGTTCAAAATATGTCAAAATAATAAGGTTATTTACTTTGCCTAATTTTCAAATCATAACTTTGCCTAATTTTCAAATCGTAACTTTCTTAAGCCCAAATCGCACCAAGGCTTCTGTAGAGAGCAAGCACTAAATATGCTTTCACTGTGCAGATCCTGATACAGCAACAGAATTAGAAACAGTTTTTGACATTTGTTATTTTCATCTGTTTATTTTTTTATCATATAGGCAGCCAATCTTCTTAAATTTGTAATATCCATCAATCTTGAATTATCTTTGCATGTATTTGCTTTTCTTTGATATTTTATAGGGAATCTCTGTTGTATGGTCACAACTGACTCATATTTTGCTAAGTTTTGGTGCAATAAGTATTTTGTCCACCAATGAATACCATGTTTGCATTTTACTGCTATCTAGCAGTTAATACAGTTACATGACAGGACCAACTAGTGGACTCTTGGAGAGATTCTTTGTGTGCTGCTATACACTTTTTTTTTGCATGTTGTAGTTATTACTGTAAATCTTTGAAATACCAAACGGATTTGTGAATTATTATCTGTGTCTATAAGTGTGTGTGTGTGTATATATATTAAAGTCCTGACTTGTTCTTTATTTCTGCAACCATTGGTAAGGTAATAGATATATACTTCCAGTTATAAAAGTGTCAAATGACACAAAGATTCATGTTTTGGCACAATTTTAAATTTAAAAAAGAAAACACATTTTACACATTTTCTCTGGTTCCTGTATTTGTATTTAGGAAATATTACAATCCTTATGAAAAATTAAACAAAGAATAAGTTTTAATTCCCATATAAACAAAAATTGACTGAGATATTTGATGTGAAAATTGAGAATCGTATTTAGAGGCTATACCCAAATAAAAGAGTGCATTTGTATGTAACTAAAAACAAAATCTTACTTCGAAAAAGATTGATCTAAAAAAATCACGTTTGATTTATTATGAACAATGATATAAGTTAACTGTTATTGCTATAATTTTCCCTTGCATATTGGGGAAAAAAAAAAAAAAAAAAAAATTAAAATTTGAAATGTACCTTCTACAAAAGAGCAAACAGCTTATTATTTTCAAAGATTTGGGATCCTACTGTCAAAATAAGTGTAATAATCATTATTAGCTTAATATGGTCAACAAAACAGATTTTGCAAGCTTCACAAAATCGACTTCTTTAAGTATAAAAATGCCAAATTATGAATCTTTGCATCATTTTAAAACTTGTTTTTAACTGGAAATATGTATCTAACCAGCAGCTTCAAAATTAAAGACCAGGTAAGGACTTTTGTCGGCATAGAGAATATTTCTGTGTAATTTGTAGCAGTTCATTCAAATGTTTATAATCCATAGCAATGTGTTATTAATTTTTACATTTAAAAATTTTTCTGATACTTCTTATATAAAGCTGTGATCAAAATAATCATATTTTTAATTTCTTGAATGTTATTTTTTGTATTTGCCCATAGTTCTTGTATAAAGTATTTACTTTAGTTAATAAAATTATGTAACAAATTATAATTATGCAATCTTTCAGACTTGCTCTGTATGTTTATGAATATTTGCTACATGTTGGAGCTCAAAAGGCTGCACAGACATTCCTATCAGAGGTATTGTTATTATTATATATTTTTGTATATTTTGTAAAAAAAATAGTTGCTGTAGTATTTCGATATACATCACTGATCCATTCCAGTTCCTGGGACTTATACCAAATGACCTTTTTCAATAAAGTGAAAATAAGTAATGCATTCTTACAGAAAACTTTTTATTATAACACTTTTTAATACAAATATGGTTTTGAAATATATACTGTACATAAACTTTTGTATTATCCAGATCAAAAGCAGTTTCTCATCATACTCTAATCTCTCTAATCTTTCATAATCAATTTCATCCCCTTTGCAATATTAGCTATATTAATAGCATTTTTTTTTCACAGTCGAGATTCTGGCTCCTTGGTATGTAGTAGCCAAGTCCCAGCTATGCATTTCATCTTCATACTCTTCAACAACCTTAAAAAGAAAAAAAACTTCATGGTGATCCTAACAATTTTCTTTGTTGCTTCACTCTCTTCATTAACGTTCTTAAAATCCGTGCATCGTCAATAAATGTATAAAAAAATTTATGCGAAAAATCAAAAAATCTTGAGAGAATTGGGAGTAATAGTGTGGGTTGTTTATTGAATAGCAGCAGCAGTCATTGCATTGTCTTGGAAGAGGCAAACAAGGGTAGTATGTGTAGTCATGATTCTTTGAACTTTGGTCGTATTCGAAATAAGTGTTGTGGCCAAATAGGATGTATATCAAGGTATCACTTTACATCAAAATTAAGCTTTAGTACCATCTGTGCTTAAAATATTATGTTATATTACATAATCTAATGTCAAATCATGTTTTGTATTTGATATATCCATATATATTTTAATTGTTTTTATATATTCTTTGGATTTGGAAGAATCATATTTTTAAATAATTCTCTGCATAAACATTTAAATTTTGATATGATGTTGAACAAAAACGTGAACTAAAAATTTGTTTAATTATACAATTATGAAATTTCTAGAAAATATTTATGATTGTTCAGGATTAGCTAATAGTAGGATGAAATGCTATAACCTACACAGCCGCAGAGGGATTGTTAGAAAGTAATTGTCTGGTTCATCTCCATTTTATATAAGTAACATTATAAAATATCTATGGTAATTTATTTTTGTAAAGAAGAGAAAAACTACCAGTGTTTAAACATTCCTCTGTGCCTGTTTTCTGGAGAGTGCAAGCACCACGGAAGTATTAATAAATATGAAAGAAAATACTGTATATCCATAAAAGAATGTCCCAGTTATAACATTTAATAGTATCAACTGTAAGTGTTGTAGAGTGTTGGTTGAAGGTCACAATTAAAGAATAACTCAAACAGTTTTAGATAAGCACGTGCACAAATACTGCTTTGTTGTTTTCTTGCTTGCAGTGCTATGTAAGCAAAATGGCAACACCTGAGCGAAAAGCGTTTTGTGCTCTGTAGTTTTCTAAGAGTAAATCTATAATTTCGGTTCAACATGTATTTCATGCAAAGTTTAATTGTGAGCCCCCATATGGCAAAACATCTGCCAATGGTATAGGCAATTCAAAATAACCAGATGTGTGTAAAGGATGACCAAAAGTGTCTGTAGAGGATGTGGACCGTGTCAAAGCATCTAACTTTCGTAGCCCTAAGAAATCTGTTTGGAAACCAAGTCTTGAATTTCAGTTGCCAAAGACGATAGTTGGAATATTTTCAGAAAACATTTTCACATGCATCCATACCAGTTACACTTGGTACAGGCTTTAAGGCCAGATGACTAATGGTGTACTTTTTAACTTTGCAAGTGAAGGGTTTCAGTTGGAAGATGACTTTCTTAATCACAAGGTGTTCAGTAATAAGAACATCTTGAATTTGTATAACACCAATGAGGTTGCTCAAAATGAAATGTTTTTATGCAGTGTCCTGACATCAAGTGTAACGAACATTTTGTTTCATTGAAGCTACCGTAATAGGAGTGCCTTATCTAGATAGGTTACAAGAATGGCTCTTTTCCCTATTAGTACAGGGTGAACTTGTAAACTTTATTTGGCAACAAGATGGAGCTACTTCCCGTTGGAATCTTTTTGCACGAGAGTGGTTGAATATGATTGAAGTCCCTGACTGTTGGATTGGTCGTAATGACTAAGATGACAGAGCTCTTTTCCACTGGCCTCTCTGTCCACCTTTTTCTTAGGAGCTTTATAAAAAATCATGTCTGCATTCCGCCATTATCTAATGATTTGCCAGAGTTGAGACACAAAACTGAAGAGGCTATGGCATCTATTACTCCAGACTTGTTAACCAAAGTCTGGGAAGAATTGAACCATAAGTTAGATATGTGCCGTATAACTAAAGGCTTACATATTAAATATTTGTAAGAAAAACTAGATTAGTTTACCTTCAATTTGATTTACAATTTGATGTAACTAGTCTAATTTAAACGATTATAGTATACCATTGGGAACTATTCTTTTATGGACACCCTGTACTTTCCCTACCGCCAACACAATGTGTAATAAAACAAATATTCTTGACAAATGTGACAGTGACATTTAAAACTATTTGTAATAAATACTGAGAACTTGCACTTTTATTGCAGTTAATTATACTCAGATATACATAAATCTGCTCTATTTTTATTACTTAAATTTTTTTCACACATGAAAAATTCATTTTATTAAGATTCATTGCAGTATGCACTACAGACATGAAGTTTTGAAAAGGTCACAAGCAGAAACCTTTGAACAGATCGTTTTAAACATCATATAATGTAGTCTGCAGTCACCTTTCCTGTGTATTTATTAGTTTTTATATGCTGGCCATTTTTTTAATACTGTGCAATAAAATTTTCTAAGACCTCTATTGATCTTACAACAAGTGTAATAATTTGGAAAGTTTTTAATATCTTCATTTTTCAGGGTTTAATTTTTTATATAAGTTGCAATAATAGTAAACATAAGGCTTAACAGTAGACAGCAACAGCTATTAAAAATGAAAAAAATGCAAAATACAAAAATAAAATAAAAAAAAATAATAAATAATAATAATAAATAAATACGGTTGTAAATTAAGAAATAAATAAAAATAGTGAAGCAGGTAAAGGAAAGCAGTTAATTCCAAAATGTATTGCTGAGAATCAGATTCAAAACAAAATTCTATCACTTTTATAATAACCTAAAAATCTAGTGTTTATTTTATATAATTAATGTAAAATTATTAGGTAAATAATTAATTGATATAAAATTAATATGTAAATAATTGATATAAAATTTTATGTAGAATAATAAAATAGTCAAGATAATATTTTATATGTTATAATAAAATACTAAATTATTGTATATTACAAATAAAATTTTAAAACGATTTTTATATCAGCAGAACTCGTAATTACAAATTAAAAAATAAAAAATTACAAAAACAATAAAACATTTATTTTTCCTGGAAAAATCAGAAAGTTGGTCAACTGGATTCAAACTCAAAATTTGCTGGTTCAGTGAAAATTTAAACACTTCGTTCGGTCAGTGCACCAAGCGATTGATCTAGTTAGACCTAGCTTAAAAGTTGAAAAATCGTTCATTAACAATAGAAAGTTGGAAATGTATCAAATGCAAAGTATTGATTAATTAAGCTTTTCTGTGTCAGACTTCTCAGAATATAAAAATATAGTAACTCTCCTTAAACAGAAAAAATACTGTAGCGGATTTAGGTAATTCAAAGAAATGAGGGGAAAATACATCGCAGTGTAGCTTACGATAGTAAATTACTCGTATCATATGGGAAAAAATATTCTATTTTTAAAGAAATCAATTAGAAATTATGATGGTAAAGATATACTGCATCATACATTCAGTTTCCTAAAAATAATAACAAAAAATTCAAATGATTCATGCCATATATTATTCACTAAGCTAAATGCTGGAAGTAAGCCACCTTTGGTTTACAGATATGCGATTTCCATACATATTTTCATTGGCAGCCGCCAAATATGTCTCGGACAACAGTGTACGCAATGTTTGCATTTTCCGGTGCAGGCATTTGTCTGACGGGCTGAAGATATGCTTACCTATGTAGATGGACTGGTGCAGATGTGCGAACATATTTGTTTGTAGATATATCTTGTCGTGTAGATGGGGCTTAATGCTAAAATGCCATGACATAATAAACTAGAAGATGCCCCCAAATGCCAGTAAGTATCAAAAGAAACCAATAGGGATTTCAAAAACGAAAAATAAAATCTTTCATTTGTCTTCAGTTCAATACATAAGTAGTTGTAAATTATTGCATTATAGTGCCAAAGATATGCCTCCCTCTGTGACTGGTGCAGATGTGCCGACATACTTATTTGGAGATATTTCTCTTGGTGTAGATAATGCTTAATGCTGAAATGCCGTGATGTACTATCAAGTGTGTAAAGGGCAAATTTGCTGTGAACCTTGCTGTTAATTCTTATGGAATGTAATGCCTTTATTTTGGTTTTTAAAGAAGCTTAGGAATGATTTTGTTGATTATTTCTATTCACTGTGATATGAGAAATAATATTTGGAAAGTTATTACATTTACTAAAGTATATTAGTAAATATTATAAATGCATAATACAGAGGATTTTTAAACTACAGTCAAAAGTCTTTAATTCGGACTCGTCGGGACTTCGGCGATTCCGGATTATAGATCATCAATTTAAATCTGGTAAGATGGCATGCAGAAATTATAAAATAAAAAATATGAAAACGTAATTTATGAAATAAAGAGCAATTATGATCTAAAGGGTATCAAAATTTACAAAAAAAAAGCTTAATATTTATTTGTTTACTTTATTAAACATTTCTTTCAACACGTATGTGTAAAGCATACATTACACATCGTCGAAATTAGAAAATTGCAACCAAAAACTATTTGATGTGTATTCGTGATATTTATAATGACGAGGAATTTGATTTAAATCATATCAAAGACGGAGTACATCAAGATTAAATACTACATTTAGTAAGGAATTATAAGCCGAATAAAATAAAAACATCTGCCCTGAAGATAACAATAGTGCTGACAGATCAACTTTCAGTTCATTGCACGCCGCGACGCGTCAACGCGGCGCATGCGCAGAAAGATTTTAGCTTTGAGGTCCGGATTATAGATCATTCTGGATTATGGGTGTCCAAATTAACGACTTTTGACTGTATTTACTTTAGCAGTACTTTTTGTATTTCGTTAATCTTAATGTGTATTTCAGTTTATTTTTAAGTTCAGTGTCAATATTAATTTATTATCAATATTAAATTTTTATGAATCAAACAACAATTTGAAATTATTTATATTCTTCACCTGTAATTTTTTTTTCATTTCAGATAAGATGGGAGAAAAATATAACATTAGGAGAACCGCCTGGCTTTTTACATTCGTGGTGGTGGTAAATATTAATTTATATTAAAACAAAAATTTTTTTTCTGAAATTACGTCTTTCATAAATTTTAAAATGGAAATATTTATTCTTTTCTGTGTTTATTTGTCTGACGTATTTTGTACACAGAAAGTTGTTGACTTAATGATAATGGGATTTATGATTTTTTGATTTTATATTGAGTTGTAACTTTTTCAAATTTTTATCTTTTCTGAGATAAGCAGTATAGGATAGCAGTGCAGTATAGTAATCACTGCTAATATGGGCAAGGGCTTTGGCAAACTCAAGCTGAATATTCTTGCTGTGAGTGAATGTATAAAATGACTTAAGTGCGAATTCTCCTAATTTAGAAGGGAGACTTCTGATTTTCAATCATACTCTCATCAACCTGATTTAAAACATATTTCTTCTGACTATCTTTTACAAAATTACTTAGTTCCTGTGTTTTCCATGGAATAGGTGTGAAAAAAGGCAAAATCATGTCATGAATGAGATAATATGAGCACTTTTGAGAGCAGATGTATTAAAAAAATTCATGTATCAATTCTCCGAGAAACGGCTACCACATTCAAGGAAGGCAGGCAGGCTTACAAATTACCCACTCCCAGAATAAGGAGGTAGTGACAAAAAACAACAGTATGAGACTCTTTTGACCCCTTGTAACTGGAATAGGTACACTGTAAATTTTTTAATGAGGATCAGTTGGAAGACAAGTCATTGCCAGTCATCTAGGTGCATTAACTAGTGAGCACAAAATAAGATCAAGGCTGATCATTGTTTTTTTTTTCCCTTGTCAATAAATGATTTTGTGGTCTTAATTATATCTGCAGAAGAAGTAAAATATTCTTGTATATTTGAAAAATCATTTGTAATTGACTTTCTGTGTATTATTTTATTTAAATAATATATAATCTATTTGCAATATATATCATTTGTCATCACAGTTTTTTTCATTTTACATGGTGGGGAGTCAGATGTTCTTAAAAATATGTGTAAACAAAAACACGTTAGCAACTTTAATAACAGAAATATATGTACATGGGAACTGCTGTATATTTATAACATTATGATGCTTGCTTCTTGAAGAAGAAAGCAGAATCTTTTATTGGTGACAGCAATTGTATGAACACTGATGAAAACTTATAAAAGTACGGATAATAAAAATATGTTTTTCTCCATGTAAGTTTTTTGTTCTGTTTGCATTAAGCATTAATGACTGTGCTTTCAAATATTAATAAAATATTTGAAAGTCAGTTCATTAAAAAATATTTCTTTCTGTATATTAGTATTGTTAAAAATTATTTTTATCTTTGAGAAAATTATCCCAATTTTTGAGATTGGTCTTCTGTAATGAAAAGATACTAATTATGCAGCCAGAAGTAATATCTTCATAAAGAATGCTGTGCATGTTTAAATTTTCAGTGTCTTACTTTTCATCAGTTATTCACAAGATTCATCATAAGCAACAAAAATGAAAGACCTTGCAACTGATGCATTTTTTCCATCCGAGTTATATAAAGTGTTCCAAACATTTTTTTACATCCCTTGGGCTAAAAGACAGTGAAAGAATATGTAATGACAGAGTATTTATCTTTTGGCAGTGGATTGTTCAGCTGTCAGTCTCCATTCATGTTGTCTGCAGCTTTGTTAAAATTTGTGGGGCCCCTATTGTTTTAGTTACTTTTGACCATGTACCTGATATAACTTGCTTCATTAATGCTTAGAGCATCACAAATAGGGAGATGAATGGTGTATTATTAATTTGTCAATGAATTATGCTTCTGTCTGCGGCACCATGAGTCAGATACATGTTTATTAGTATGTTAGTGACAAGTACTTAATCCTGGTTCATTTAGTTATTAGCATGCTTTCTCAGATGTTGGAGTCTGTTAAAGTTTCAGCATCTACCTAGAGTTAGTTACCCCGAAGATAATAAGTGACTGTGCATGGTTTCCAATGTTCAGTATTATATATTGCTGCAAAAATTTAGTATATGAATCTCTTACTTATTGGGAACACATCTAATAATGTCACTCTAAGTATTTATGCTTGATTTGATTTGAAGCGGTCTCAGTGACTGGAATTTTTCATATTTTTGTAATGCTTGTTACTTGTGGTATTTTTGCTCTTTCTGTGACTTACTTTCATAAGAAAAAAAATAATAGGTATATTATCTGAGGAATGGCATGGCTATGAGATTGAACCAGCTTGCCAAATTCAACTATCAGGAAATTCCTTATTGATGTAGTCTCTGCACATTTTTACCCCAATGAAAAGTTTCTTCATATTGCTGTTAGATTATCTTTGTCCTGGTATTCAAAATTAAGAGAACTTTTACGTGTGGTCAGTTATCTAACCGATGAACATATTTTAATGAAATTTTATATGGACAGTAAAACAGTTGAATCACATTAGAAACTTGACTATCCAGAAGTTTTTTTTTTTAAAATACTGATTGACAGATTAGTAAAAATTCTAGATCTGAAGTACACTTTATGGTAGAAAAGCTAAATGAAAAAGAAATGTCTTGCTAAAAGTTCTTAGAATAGTCATTTTATTTTTTATCATTGTGAATATCAAAAGCCTGTGTTTAACACTATGGAAAGTTAAGAACAAAAAGTATATTTCAGACATAAAAGCAGATGTATTTTCATAGACCTCTAAAATATGAAATAAAGCATCATATTAGGTTATGAAATCATATTGACTACATAAGTTGCAGACATCCTACTAGGTTTGCACCAGTCACTGCAACAGAAATTTGAAAGAACTGATTGTTGTATTAAATTAAATATTTAAAAATTACAAGCTATGGATATAAAATATAAAAAACTGAAATAATTTTTCATGTAAATAGCCAATGTTTATCCATTTTCAAATATAGTTCCACATCATGCTCATTAACACTCACTTTTCTTGATGCCAGGATTCTGTAATTTTTTCTGTTAACTACAATTAAAATTTTAATAATTTTTTAAAATGCAGGAGTGAAACAGTTAAATAGTAGTTAACTCAACCCTTCCTTAAAAAAAGTGAACCAATTCATTGAGGATAAATCAGGGTTATGTAAAATCATGGGGACAATTTTATGATTATGTTGTGATATCATGCTTATCCATTATTGATACTAAATCATATTGTTTGGCGGCTTTTTCGTTTCTTAGTGCGATAATGTCTTAGCGGTATTTCTTAGTGCATGGCGGCACTCTAAATGTGCGGCGAGCCGAAAGTCCTCTTGTATGGTTTGGTGGAAGGAAGAAGGGGGGAGACCCTTGGACCTGTTATCCTATGGTGTTGTCAATAAAAATTGGGGGTGAAACTGAGCCAAATGGCGCTGTCACCTGTTAGGTGCTCAAGGCTGTTGCCAACGACAGGCGTAATCTTGCATTCCTTGCCACAAGGAATTTCATGGGCTTGGGCTGACTACATCAGACAAGTGAGCATAAGCAACAACAACATGTATATATACACACACCTGGGGGTGGCAAACCTGATATAAGTAAGGGACACATGTAGGAATTTAAGAAAGTTTGAGAGCTGCAACTAATTTTTCAAAAGCCACAAGTTCGCGTTTACATCATTTTAAAATTAATGAAGCAGGTTTCAAATGTTAACATCTGATAACTTTGTTAAAAGAAATTGAATAAATTAATTACTTTCTTTTGGACACTCAGTAGGTTTAGTTTACCATATTTCATACATACACACATATATATATTGCATAAGAGCTTCACCACTTGCCTGTGAGAAGCATAAATTGCATGAAATACGAACTGAAAGAAAATGGTAGATTTTTTTACTCTGGGGAAAGAGGTCCACAGAAAGTCAGTATGGAAATCTTGAGTCAGACAACATAATGGGCTTACTTGGACAACAACAGGAAGAAAAGTTCACAGTTTCTTTTTACAAAACGAAATTGCAACTGTCCAAAAAGTGGGAAAAGTTATAAATAATGAAGCTGATTTGCCAAATATGTTCATTCACACAGGATAAATGTTGAATAATTTAGGCTTCGCATATAAAAAAAGGAAAATGGTTAGTTTTGATTGAACATGGAGATATTCAGTTGTGGAAGCTCAGACATCTAAGAGATATGAAAAAATATCATGCATATGGTCAAACAGTTTATTATACTGAAGAAACCTGGGCAAATTTTGAGCATTTAAAACCAGAATTTGGCAGGATACAACTATAAAAATCCCTAAGTGACATTCAACTTTGGTTGAGAGGAAATAATATTCCTTGGAAAGCTAAAATGTTAAATACAGAACTTTTAAGTCCTTGTTTCTAAGGTTTGAAAACATTTTACATTGCATCATATCAATGCTGTAGCTGTAAACAGACATGCTATATATCACCATATCATTACGAACTGCATCCAATTGAACTCATATGGAGTAGTATGAAAGGGTATGTAGCATTTGAAACCAAAACTTAAAAGATGAGGTTTATAAATTGAAAAAGGGGTTGATTTGGTGGCTCCTGTGCATTGAGCTAAATGTGTGAGGCATATAATAGAAGAAGAGAAAATGTGGAAGTTAGATGGTATGTTGGAGAACACCGTCAAATGCATCAAATTTAACAGTCAGATAGTTCATATTCTTCAGATGATAAAACAAGCAGGATTGAATACATATGTTAAAAAAAGGGCCATTTTCAGGGCCACAAATTAAAAGTACAAGGCCCCTCTTCAAGGCCTCAAATTAAGAAAAAGGCAGAACTGTAAACTATGAATAACATTATAAATACAAGCCAGCATTCCATAACAAATTTAACAGGAAGTGTCCCTCTAGTGGTCGAGTGGTATAAGACTGCTGAATACTGGTCGTTTGACCTTGGTTTGAATCAAAGTGAATGGGCTGCCATCATTGTCGTTTTTTGTGGGTTTTCGTATATGAAACGTGGAGTCAGTTTCCTTTAGAAAGTCCTCCGTGAATGATCTTGCCTTTTAATCAGATATTCCTTGTCTGCTTTGCCATATTCAGATTGCAAAGCCTAACCAGTGTGGAAGTGTATTAACTATGTCAGAAGGAACAACAGTTTCTCTCCAAAGAGGGAGATATTTTCAACTGGAACTTTATAGGTAAATGACTGTTATAATGCACTGGGAGACTTCGATGCAGCCAATGTTCCAATCATTACAAACAAACTCTGTGCATTCTACGAGTGTTTGACGGCTTTAGCAACTCGGTCATTAATACACTCGATATGCAGATGATTCCAGCTAAAGGAGTAACCAGAATCTCCATTTGATACACATGTTAGTTTTTACCTTGAAGGAAGTGTATTGTTTTTACCTAACTTTTACAATCTTATCCCTTGCAAAATATTATTTGCAGATTCTCAGGGAGTAAAGTCAACTTGTTTTTATAAATTCAGAGATGTAAAAGCAGTGGGAAGCAAAATTGAGTAATGAGAAGTACCAAAATAGTGCATTGAGAGATGTGAAAACAAGCAAAAGACGTACTTTCATGCACCATTGCGCATAACCCTTTCATTTAACAAAGCATAAGAGCTTTATTTTTTATATACAAGCTATCAGTCATTAATTAATATGGTGAATGATTTAAAGGCAATAAATGCACTTCTTAATAATTAAAATTTTATTTGTTTTAGTTCTTATTAAAATTTGTTGTAATTAGCAGAAGACATTTCTAATTCATTAGTGTAGGTTTATATAATTGATAAGTTCATTTTCATAATTTTTATGTTTGTTTTACAGGAAAGTTTTGAAATTTTTAATAGTAAACTCTTCTTTAAGTCATTAGACTGCAATTTCAAGTTCTCACTTTCCAATATTTTTATTTATTTTAAATAGTAATAAACAAGATAGGACCAGGCATACTGTGGGAGGGCGATTGTGTGGCCATGACTGGAAGAGTTATATGTCTTTGAAGACAGTTAATACAGGATATAATATTTATAATGTGTGCTATAAAATATAGTTAGCTTTTTTTAAACAGTTGCAAATTAAAATCTAATTAACATTTTTGGAAAATAAAAAGGAAAAGTTTTCTCTATTAACGTCTAAGTAACATCTTTAGAAAATAAAAATTGACAAATCAGTAAAGAATAGTTATTTAATTTATTGGAAGCATATTAAAGTCCTATATATTTTAGTGCCACCCAACTGGAATAGTGGTTAGCTTTGCTGACTGCTGTGCCAAAGGACTCGGGTTCAAATCCTGGAGAAGGCATGGGTATTTGTAAATGTATACTATCCGTGCGGCATGGGGGCACTTTAAATATGCGGTGAGCCGTAAGTCCTCTTGAAAGCTTGGTGATTGGGGAAGAGGGTGGGAGACCCTCGGCCCTGACTTCCCAGTGTGCTCTCCATCAAAATTAGGGCAGAATTGAGCTAAGTCGCACTGTCACCTGTAAGGTGCTCAAGGCTGCTGCCAACAACAGGCATAATCTTGCCCTCCTTACCATGAGGAATTTCATGGGCTTTGGCTGACTAGATCAAGCCCACGAAATCAAGTCAGACAAGGTCAGACAAATGAGCATCAGTCAACATGTTTTAGTTATTACTGTGTGTAAATATGCATCATGTCTGCAAAAGTTCTTTCATAGCTTTTATTTCCATAACCTTTGGTCATTACAAAACATTTTTAATGATACAAATATTCATGTTTTGGTCTTTTTTAATTTTAAAATATTAAAATTGAAAAAATAAAAAATCTAAAATGCTGTATACTTTTAAATTTGGAGATCAGATTTATAGGCTGTGCACAGCTCGAGCAAAATGTTTGTACTTGCACATAACTGAAAGCAAAATATCAGTTTAGAAAAAAGTTTTTAGAGTTAATAGATTGAGTCATGAGCACTTCTGTGCAGAAGGTTACGAAATGTATTCTTTATTATAAATTTTTTTACAGAGGAGATCTTATTCACAAAATTGTGTAGAATTCATGTCACACTAGCTGGCTTCAATTATGCCACGTAACCAATGTGTAATATTAATTAAATTAAGAAATATTACATGGTAATGAATCAGGGGGGGGAAATTGTTAAATGACATTCATGGGAAAATATGAACCTCAGATCATTCTAATGAACTGCCACCCTTTGCTTTTGCCTCCCTTTTCAATACACAGACAAATAGCTTCAAATTGGTAATATAAGGAAATAAATTAAATCTCTGTGTTTCTTTTTGAAATGAAACTTTAATTCTTCTATTTTAAACGTATATTATTATTTTGTTTGTTTTTCTTTTGGGAGAAACCATTGTTGACACTATAGAGGTATACTTCATTGCTGCTGTTGCTGTTATGTGAACAGTATGGAAAACTTTCTTAAATGCACAATATGCTTTACAGGACTTAAATACTTCTTAAACAATTTTTATTTAGAAAATACTTTTTAACAGCTACCAGCATTTATAGTAGTTGCCAGAAGTGTTCTCAGTAGTGTTAGAGTATTGGAAACTTATTCATTGCAAAAGTTCAAAAGGCATGTTTTTTCATGTTCAAAAGCCTTTTCGTGTTTAATGGAAATAAAGCTAAAATATTTATTCTTGAACAAGGAATTCTTTTTATCATCATTATAATTTTTTTATATTCATATTTTCATTTAGAAGTTTTGACAAAGGATAGATGGTATAACAGAAATATGCAGATCTTGTAATGATGTGTCAAGTATCTTGTAATGATTTCGTTGAATACTTTATAGCATAAAAACCATATTTCTTCTCTATTAAATATCATATGGCAGTTCTAGCTAATGTGGTTCTTTACCTGTCTGAATTATCCTCATGACTGAGCCCTATAAAATCATATTTCACACGAAAAATGGTTTCCCCAAAAACGTGCCGCTCTGGGCAGACCACCTTCTCTGTAGCTTCACTACTGTCCTCATAACAAATTGAAAATAAGGTCAGATATCTTAAATTTGGGGATTGAATATCTCAGTCAATATTTGTAATGCAGGAATCAGACTTTTTTTCTTTTATAAGAATTTTGACTGTAAAGAAAGTTAAATTTCTAAATCTTTTAAAAATTGAAACATCAAAACATAAGTACTTATGTCATTTTGAAAATTTAGTATGCGAGAATACATGTCTATGGCCAGTGGTTGGGGATATAAAAGCTGGGGCATAAAGTCTTATAGAAGGACACAGTGTATATATGGACTTAAGTTGATATGCTGAGTGACTTTCGAGCATTATTTTGGCATGATATTACTAAAAATTTGATGAGACCTGATGATGTGCATGTCTATGTGGTATATGTAATAACACATCAGCCTGATAATCGGGAGATCTGACATTCAAATTTCAGTGAGAGTCTAGTTGATTTTTTGTTCAAAGCCTAAGACTGTATAGTTTTATATGATAATCAGTTTTTAATATTAAGTATTTTCATCAGATTAAAAGTATAATAACCACCCTGTATTAAAATTTTTTATTCTTCTAATAAATTAATTTTCTATAGTGTTTTCTGGGACTTATATTGTGCAGCACCTGAAAGAAGAGAAACCTGTGAACACTCTAGTGAAGCTAAGGCATTTCATGATTATGTAAGTGTGTTATTTTTATTATAAATTCTGTTCGAGAGCTTTTTTTGGGTATGTAGTGTATTAAAATAAAATATAGCTTTTTCTGCCAACAAAATTTTATTCAATATCAACTAACTGCAATAATAACATATATATATATATATGTTTATAAAAGCAGCACATTTCAAAATAACATATAGAAAGATAAGTTAGAAAAGAAAAAGTGTTTTTATATATTAACAATTTAATTACTTAATAAATTTTGATGCAAATCTTTGTTGCTCTTAACCCTTTTGAAAAGGTGCTCCTTTGTTTAAGATGTTCCCTTGGGACAGAGGAGAATTAAAAGGAATGCTTCCACAGTACGGAGGGTTTTGCGTCAGTAAGTCTCACTTCAGAGGGGAAAAATAATTACAAAAAGTTTAATGTTATAATTTTTGGTACCATTTTTTGGTATTTAGATTATTACTTAAACTATCATGCATTAAAATTAGCATTTAATAGTCCATTTTTTTTTTACTTAAAGTATATTAAAAATATATTAAAAAGTGCTTATTTTAAAAATAGTTCTTGGATGAGCTATTCAAATTACTCTGAAGTTTTAACTGACAAAACACAATAATAAACTTCAAAATTAATTTAAAAAGTACAAAGAAGGGGGGACTATTTGTAAGAAGTAATAAAATCTTTCACAGGAAGTGGGAGGCAGACACTCAGAGAGCTCAATCTCTGACCTGGATCAGAATCACTAGATATATCACTTTAGAAAATGAGTCATCACTTTCATCCAAGTCATTAAATGACTCATTTACTATGTGAGTATATCCTTTCTGTGATAAGTAAGCTTTCCCGCTACAATAAACTGGAGTGGAGGCTTTCCAAAATAAAAAGGGAAGAACGCAAAATATATCTGAAAGCAATGCAAAGCGTAACAGACCTCCACCGTGTAACCCTAAAAAACTCTATAAAGTAGAAAAAGAAAGAATAGAAAAATGATTTGGAGAAATATCAGAAAGGGGAATGTTTATATCTCGTGGCGAGTTAAAAAAGACAAGTTTGTTTGCATCACACTGTCTTTCTTTCCACACAACATCTGACACCAATGTTATGCAGAATGTGATCAAATTAAAGGTCAGGAATCCTAAAACTTATATTCAGTTAAAAAGTAATGGACACAGGATGTCATATAGTGATCTTTAAAGCGTTCCAGGACACTGGCACAAATATGAACGAGAAAATGCTGTAGCATGCCAACGTGCCGGCCAGGAAATGAGTACATTTCTTGCTGGCACGTATGCATGACAGTTGCCACGAAAGGGTTAATACATCCAAATGATATTCATTTTCATGCCACCATGTTATGGAGTGGATAGCAGCTGTCATATGCTGCTTAATTATCTGTAAATGAGAACAAGGCTTTTTAGAGATATGATGCTTAACATAACTCCAAAGGAGAAATCCAGTATAGTTACATCTGGAAAGTGAAGAGGCCATGAAATGGACCCACTATGACCAATCTACTTTTTTGGGAAAATTCTGCTATAGGCTGTTATGTACACACACTGGCCAATGTGAAGGCACATCATCCTGTTGCAAAATGATATCTTTTGATTTCCAGCATTCTTACGATAGTTATTGAATTTATTCTCGCTGTTTGTTGGGGGGGAACACATGTTTAATTTAATTGATTGATTGTCTCGTTTTAAACATCTGCACTGCATTGGTATATATGAAAGTTTCTTGAGCACTTGGTGCAACCAGAATTTTGAGATGGACAGATATAATTTGCTAAAACGTTCCTCGTTTGAAGGAGTGAAATCTATACATTCGATACTGGCAAGCTAGAGAGTTGATGCAGTTGACGTCTAGGGACTAGTTCCCCCCTTTTTAATGCTTAATGAGTCATGTTATTCCATTTTTCAGTTTCAATGTAATTATTATTGTAATGACATTAATTGCTGTTTTGTCATTTTGTAAATCTTTTTTTTTTTTTTTTTTTAAATGCTCCAATCTTATGCATCTCTGATGCATAGAGCCCAATGATGTATAGTCAAGTGTCTTTGCAATAATAAAAAAAAATAATAATATTAGAATGATATAAGATAATTTACTGAAAGTAGTGTCCTTTGGCAGCTGAAACCTTTTCGTACTTTTCGGGTAACAAATGGATTCCACAATAAAAATTTTCATGTTCAACTCATTGAGCTACTTTTTGAGATCATTAAAAGGTGTGAAGTATTTTTCGAAAAGAGGATGTCTGGTCAATATGACAGGTGGGGTAAGACATTTAATTGAAGTTTCTTCAAGGTATCCTTCACTTGGTTTGGAACATATGATTAGACATTGCTATGAAGCAGAATTACTTTGTCATATTGTGTCCGAGCATATTGCGGAGGTTTTATCTTCAAGTGCACAATACCAATTGAGTAATTGTGCTTCTTAGTTTTCAGCATTCATCGTTTGACATGGTTACAGCACCTGTGGTACACCACACTGACTTGATGCCACCAAATGCACAGCACAATTTTCTTACTGTGAACATTCACTTTTGACATTGATATTGATAGTTCGCCACAACACGCCTATGATTTCATGCAAAAATGACTTCCATTTTTGTCTTTAAAGCAAACACAAATGGTTTAATTTCGCAGTGTCTCTTTCTATCAATTGATCTGGTATCCAGTTTCCCAATTTCAGAATCATCCCCATTGCTTTTTAAACATTTACTATCAAAGGGCAATCCCCGAGATGAATCTTCTGTTAGTAATGCCTCTAACTTGAGGCATTTAACCTCTCAAAGCCGTCTGGTACAGCAGTTGTACCAGGAGAATGACTTTCTCAGATGCCGGCATTGGTACAACTGCCATACCATCCATGCCCTCCCCATTTTAGAGAATCGCCTATCTGTAGATCTTTGGGTGGTCCATTGTCGCTGCTCAGAGTAGCCGCTGGCTACGCATTATTTCCCTCTTCTTATCAGTTTGGCCTACATTTTGGCAAAAACCGCAGGTTTCGTCTTGCGCCAATATACTTGAAAATTAAATAGAGGCCATCTCTTTCTCAATCTGTCTCATAATTTTAATGCTAATTTTTTTAGTACTGACTTTTGCTATGATTAAAACGTCAGCGATTTTGCACGCTCTTTAAGCTTACTATATTTAACGTTTCTTAATCATAACAAATAAGAATAGATTAATATTTTAGATTTAATGCCCTTCTAGAAAATAGGTAAAACCGCTTTTATCGTTTACTTCCTTTTCATACTTATGAATAATAAGATTTTATTTTGACATTGTTTTTGTGGAGTGCATAAAACCCTTAAGAACTGTCAACTCTTTCAAAGTGCTTCTATTATGCAGGCAATTTTGTCTGATTTATCAGGAGATAAATAAGAGACAATTGTATGCATAATAGTTTTTGTGATTTTCATTCATTCAGTGATTGCTTTCAATGATTTTCATTGATTGTAAATTAAATAAAATCAATTTATCTTTAGACCCTCTTTTAGGATGAGATCTGCCAAAAAATATTTAAATATCAGTAAAGCTCACGTTACTTCTAAATTGAATCAAAACATCAGTTACATTTTATAAAATTTTGGCCAGTTTTATTTGCTGAAATTCTTATACTCCTCAAGAGATAGAGAGAATTCAGACAAGTTGATAAAAAAATATCTTTAAAAAAGGTTGTTATTTTTGTCTGTAATAAGGTGTATGTCAACTTACTACTAAATGTATGAAAATTAGGATTGGATTACGGAAAAGCACGCGAACGCTATCTGCTTAAGGGGAATGGATGCTTTCGTGTAAACCTTTTTAAGAGAAAATTGCTCGCATTTACATTCCTGGTGGAAAACTCCACATGTAATCAACCCGTTCTTCGGTATTGATTGGATTAATTTGTTCGCTTACTGAATTACATCAAAGCACACCCAACGATTTACCTGTATAAGGGGAGTTATGTCTTCGCGGAGGACTTTCTAAGAGAAGCTGGCTTGCATTTACGTTACACAAAAACCATGAATCCAACTATTTATCCGGGATTCAAACCCAAGCGAGCTATAAGTGTTCAGCCACCTTTACCGCTTTACTGAAGAGCAGGTAAAAATATTGATAAAGGAAACGTATTGAATTAACCGGTTTAATTTACTAACCTATATTTCTCAATCGACAGTACATAAATTACGCATATGAGGGGGATTATTTGTGAATAAATAAACTGTATTGCACTTTTATCCACTATGTCATATTACAATGGAATTATTGCATTTCAAAGTTATTTCTCATGAATTAATTTTGCTCTTCATGATTTTTGATATTTTCAAAGAGAAAATTCCACACTTTAAATAAAAAAATACACGAGAAGAGATACTTTATGCAAAATTTGGCGTAAACGGTTTTCTTAATTTTGCTTTGAAAATATTGCAGGGTAATCGTTTTCATTACTGGAAGAAATATAAAAACAAATTTACTACATGGTGTCAACACCCAATATTTCCTTATTCTTTTGAAAACGTGAAAGATTGAAAATGAAATAGACTTCAACTTTTGGATATAACGATAGTTTTAGACGAAATTTCTTCCTATGAAAAGAAATTGACGTATAATTAATTCTTCATGAACATTTAAAACTGTTCTCAAAATTCTTTTGATGATTGCATGTATAAGTCACGAATTCTTTTTCTCGGCTAACATAAACAAAAGCCAATTTTACAAAGAAAAAATTCTCGTTAAAGATATACCTTCTTTGCCTGATAGTCCAATGTAATATTTGTTTAAAATTAAATTATTAAACGCAACCAATGTATCTCGGATTTTGATTTTTATATTATAATAACAAAATTATCGAAAAAAGCAGATTTAAATCTCTGTTATTGTTATGTAAAGCTTTATTATTGCTGTAAGTTCATCTCAAAATCTAATTGTATTGAATCTCATTCTAATCATCTAATGGTAATAAATATTATTATTATTATTTTCATTAAATTAGTCATTACCATTATTTTATTAATGAAAATATGTTATTAAAAATCGCATTCCAGGCCTGCAGACTTACAGATCTAGTCTGTATTTACTATATTTTGTTAAATTTTGTTCTCGCTTTCTAATTTCTAATACGAAAATACGCGTGAATATAAATGAAGAGTGAAAACAAAGTTAAAAAATTCACAAATTATTTACGAGATTGATTAGAAATAGTGAATGAAATATAAACATTGAATACATTTTGTTCTAAATAAAGTGTGCACTGGATATGCATCCAGTACTGCACATTTTATTTATGCACTATTTATTTAGAATTTTGCTTTCATTTAAATGAAAGCAAAATAATCATCTAAAAAATTGCAAATCTAGCAACCTCTCTACTATGGGACGTAAGCGTCTGACAAACATGTAAATTTTACTTCATCTATGGAGGGGAACTAACGACTTTTCTCATTAGTAAAATGTCAAAGAGGGGACAAAACTGTTTCGGATCGCGCCGGTCTGAAGGCTATATTATGAGAATTTTGGCCCGTTTTTAGAAGGTTGATAGATAACTGTCCATCATAAATCTTTTTTCACTGACCAGGATGCATTTTGTCACTCATCTCCAAATCTTGATCTTTGAATTGTTGAAGCCAATCTCTGCTCATTTTCCCCGATGAAGCATGTTCTCCTTACACGTTACACTAGCAGATGATGACTTTCGACAGCAAATTTCTTTAGATGAAAGCAGAAGAGTAACACTTCCCACAAATGCTCTTTTGTAGGTACAAAACTTGACATGTTCACGGCTTGTTCTTTTCATACCACTTGAAAGTCACACAAAGATATGAAAGCCTAATGTTTCTACTGTTAAATACATCTCGTTTTACACTTTTAAACACTTTTGAACAAGCTCAGATTGCATTAATTTACGAGTGTCAGAAAAAAAACTCAATCAGGATGTTTGAGTTTTTGAATTTAATAGTTAAAAATAATTTGCTTCTTTTGTGTACCACTTATTTTTCTCTTGGGTATCACCAGTGGTACGCATACCACTGGTTGAGAACCCCTGGTCTATACACTTGAATCATTTGCAAATCTTTGTCAGGCAAACATATCTGAAGAAAAAAATGATGTGCAATTAGGAAATTATTTGTATGCAAGAATGCACGTCAAAATTTTGTAATAGAATCAATGCAAAAGATGTGAAATGAAAATGTTTTCACAACTGAGCAACAAACAAGGGATGTTTCATATGCATATGTGAATACGTACTGCAAAAATTACATGTTACTGAGGAAAATATATGCGAGGTTTGTATATTACTGTTAAAATTGAGGTTAATAATGTTAACATCTGTTTATATTATGAAGATGAGTATGAAATTCTGATTTATTTTCTAAAGTTATAGTTCTTTATTATTAGTCCTTAAATTAATGATTTAAAATAATTGTCTGTAATATAATTAATTATATTTTTTGAAAACATTTTATGAAAGTAATCACGTTTGAACTAAAATGAAACATAAATTGTATTACTTAGAGATTGTAACAATGTTTTGAATGAATTTAATCCCTTGTGTCAAAGTGATCCCACCAGCTATTCTGCGGATTGAAAGGCTTGGTTTTGTGTTAAGTTCTATTGCATAAAATTTAATTTATTGGAAAATAACAGTAAATGTGTCATCTATATCATTAATTATGTTATTTATTAATTATTGGATCTGTAATAAAAATCAGCAGTAAAGTTATTACTGCAATTTCCTTTATGTACTCTGCATATTGCTTATGAAATGCAAGATGTGCCCATAAAGTAACTGGACAAATTGAAAGATCAAATGACAAAATAAAAAAGAGAAAGTTTAATCTCAACTGTTGTGAAAGCCAGTTTAAATTGTTATTTTATTATTTGCATATCAAAACACCAGAGTCATTTTCATTTACTGTGAAGGCATTATACACAAAAATTTGCTTCAAGAGGAAACAGGGTTACAACATTAAATTTTTTTACAAATTAGGTAAACTTGCTACTGAAACTTCAGAAATGGTTTGAATAGTATATGGTGATGCATCATCATAAAGGATACAAGTCTGTGAGTAATACAACTGCTTTAAATGGTGCAGGAAAGCAGTGAAGATGAGCAATAGGTAGAGTGCCCTGTAACTTCAAAGAATGAGGAAAATGTGAAGAAAATTTGTTCTTTGTTAAAAGCAGGTTTGATGTGTAACAACTTTCAGATATGTTTAGGATAAGCTAAGGAAGCTATATGTTAATTTTAATTGAAAGTCTGAAAATGAGAAAGTTTGTGTTCATTTTGTACATTGGATTTTGGCAGAACAGCAAAAAGAAGACAGAAAAGTTTGCTGTGAAGATTTGCTGATTACTGTGAGACAGGACAACAATTTCATAAAGTGTGTTATAGCAGAAAATGAGAACTGGTGTCTACAATATGACCCAGAGACAAAAAGACAAAGTGCACAGTGGAAAGGACCATCTTCTCCTGTACAAAAAAAAAAAAAAAAAGGGGGGGGGCGAGAGCACAGGTGTCGAAATTAGACTGCAGTGATGATGATGGTTGTACATTTTGATTACAGAGGACTAATTCAGCATGAATTTGTCCCTGAAAATCAGTCAATCGAACAGTTTTTTTTTATAAGGACAGGCCTTTTACGATTAAAACAGGATAAGGCAAGTTAGAAAAAACTTTTTTGGGCAATGGTTTCATTTACATGATAATCCCGGGCCCCATACAGCATTGTCTATACAATAATATCTTGCTAAGCATTCAGTTACAGTGGTAAATCATGCACTATATTCTACTGACTTATCACCAGCTGACGTTTTACTTAAGCTTAAATCAATTGTTATGTGTATTTTGCATAGAGTTAGTTCCAATGCCCATAAACATTGTTTCAATGACCTGAGAAGTATTGGAAAAACTGTATACACTCCTCTGAAGATTATTTTGAAAGAGATAAATTTATTTGAAGGTTAGTAATCTTTTAAAAATTTATTAGCAATTGTCCTATAACTTTATAGGTGCACCTTGTATAATTATTATATGTTCTAAAGCAGTCAAGATATTTTCTATATTAAATACAATATTATTTTACTTTATTTTCATTTTTAGGGCTTTGTAAATTCAGGTTATGCTGTAAATGGAATTGCACATGTAAGTATAAATGTCCCAAAATGTGTATGTTTTTAGTGAGTGTGATGGGTTGATAACATGTTTTGTTTCTGTAAAACAGTGATTTTCTGTGAGTTTTATTTTGTAAATATGTAATTATCATAATAAGCTGAAATGGAATTTTGAGCAACATTATGTGCATAATTTCTCTATTCCTGTTACTTTTAGTTTTTAAGTTAAGAATTTTGTAATTGCCAAAATCTTGTCTGGTATTTTTTAAATTCTGTACGATCTCAATAAAAAATATTTTCCAAATTTACATTTGCATACCAACGGTTAACATCACGAAACACTTAAAAATCACCTAATCATTGTATTAGCTGGTGTATCACATTTTATTCATGGTGTAAAACATTCTAAATTTATTTTAAAAAGTATATTTTGATTTCAGCAGAAATATTTTTAGTTTACATCAATTCAAACTTTTAATTAATATTTTTAAAATGACATCATATTAAGATTGTTCTATATCTTAATATGATGATATTATGTATATGATGATATATATTAATATGATGATGATTCTATATCTTAATATGACTAATAAAATCAAATTAAGTCTGAAATGTAAATTTTTTTGGTTTTTTTTTTTTCGGGAGGGGGGGGGAGGGGAAAACTACTGCAGAAGAAAAGGGGTTCTCTAAAGTAGAATTTCAAAAATATTTACAAAAGTAAATATTATTTAACTAGTTCTAAATTTGTAATTTTGAAACTCTTACAGTTGGGAGCTTCATAAGGTTTACAATTTTAAGTCATTAATTCTTGAAAAGTAAATAAACTCTTTTAATATTATAAGTAAAAATGTTATCTTTTAATGTTATCAAATTCCAAATATTGCTAACTTATTAATTTATGTTTTAGAACCCAACAGCTCCCAGTCCGTTGGGTCAGATGCCACCAAATGATGGAATGCCAGGGGGACCAATGCCACCTGGTTTCTTTCCGGTATGCTCTTTTCTTATATATTAAAAATATCGTTTTGTTTTTATTCATGGTGTTTTCAAAAGAAATGACATATTATTTGTATGAGTTCGGCACTTTTATATATTGATCTTGTAGATCAAAAATCTAATTATTTTTATTGGCATACAAAATGAATATTACAAAGTAACTGTACTGAATTCTGTTTCCATTTTAAGCCGTGCTTATCAACCTTCTTGTGTTTAAAGTTCACTTAAAAAGTTGACTTGCTGCTATACTAACTTTTTAAGACTTAATTTAAGCAAGATTTAACTAGAAAAAGTACTTCTATTGATGCTTTATAATTTGATGTTTTACTCACACATTTCTGCAGTTAGAAAAATCTCTTTTGCAAATGGAAATTTCCAATGAAAATATAATGATATGATGTTTGAATTTGATGCGAAGGCTGAAGAGAAGAGAGCTATTGTTTCAGTGCTCTTATGTTTGAATATTAATTGTATATTTCAATATTATGCATTGATTACATTCAAACTTTCAGAATTTAAACACTTCTGTAGAGTAGCTCCCGAAGTTTCTACATTTAGGGACTTTTATTTCAATTAAGAAATCAGTATTTCGTGAAATTTTTCTGTCTATTTTGCTGAATAACCTCATTTTTACTTCCTTGTACGAAGTAAAAAGCAAGTATTATAATCATGAAAAACTTCATATTGCAACAAAAATATCCACTTTGACCCTTATCGAATGCAATTGAATGATAGTTTTGTGTGATATCCGTACGTAAGGATAGAATAAAGGACTCTTTTCCCCCCAAAAAAAATTATAAAACTGATTTAAAATGAATTCTGAAGAGAAATTTGCGTGGTGTCTCTGCGTACCTATGTACGTATCTCTCATAACTCAAAAACGAGTAGTCTCAGAATGTTAAAATTTGGTATATAGGATTGCTATAACCTGTAGATGTGCACCTTGTATTTTGGTTGCAATTGGCCACACCAAAAGTATATAAATATATGTATATGTATATCCACTCTGTTATTTGGCTCAATAATCTGAGTTTCTTTATTCTTTTATGTTTGTAAATTGTGCTTTTTTTGATTTAAAAATTATTGAATTATGTTGTACTTATCTTGTGGTTAAGGTTTTTATGCCTTTAGTAAACCTGCATGCAATATTTTTAGAATTATCAACAATTTAAAAATTGTTTAAGTGCCGCTAAGCCTAATTATTTTTGCCGTTTGGCCATGTTTGTTTACATTTGAAACAGCAAAATAGTATATTTGTTGCCAATCTAGAGAAAGTAAGCTTCGCAATAACAAAGATAACGCCTTCTTTTATTATTGTGAATTAAAACATGCTTAATCCATTCTAGAATTTATTTGAGGAAATGAGTGTATAAGATTTACTTCATAATTTTCAATATAGATATTTTGAGTTTTTATGTATTTTTGCCTTGTCGTGAAGCGAAAACTGAATTAATTGAATGAGAAATACCGAATTGTCTGTGAAAAACTCTTTCTTTCTTTTCTTTTCTTTTTTTTTCCCCTTAATTTCTTTTATACATCGTTTTAGATTTATTATAGTATTTAAATAGAAAATAACGCTGTTAAGTGAACCTAGGGCCAGAGTGTCGCTATGGTAAGCTTAGTGAAAAGTGGCCATGTTTCCTTGCTTCAAAATTTTCAGAAAATCGTGTTCTTCTGCAATCGTGTTCTGAAAATCGTGTGCAGCTTTGATTTTTTAGTCTCTTATGTAGATTGTAATGACTGCAACTGTCACATTTTAATAAAAACCAGGGCTACACGAAAATCAAATCTACTTCAAAGGCTGTTTCATCATTTTTCTTTATAAACAATGAAAATTCTGATAAAATGCAGAACTTTTATTCTCATCTGTTCTTGTGAATCTCAAGATTGCATGTACTGACCTTGCAAATTTTTTGTTTTAATCAATATTTCCTGGGGTAGGGGACTACTTGTGGAAGAATTAATGCAACTACTCAAGTTATGTGTCTAGCAGATTTTACAAGAAAGGAAATTATACAAGTTTTACAAAGTGCACTGCTTGTGCTAGCTATTGATGATAACTCAGATTTTACAATGTGAGGTTTATAAAATTGTACCCTATTGTTGTTTCATATTGAGATATTGCCAAATATACATATTGTTATTTTGATTGTTGGAACTGCCAATAATTCAAGGAAAGGAGTTTTTAAAGTCTTGAACTATGATTTTATCCAGAAGTGCGAAGTGGTGTTGCTTTGCTTGTGATAATGCAAAAACCATGGTGGACAGTGTTAAAGGAGGTTGTAGTTTTCATTAGATTAACTTCCAACTTTCATACATCTATAAGGATATTCTTGTTGGTTTCTTCATAGAGCTGTTTAAAATGCATCAAGTCAGTTAATGTACGTAAATACTGAACAATCCAGTTCTATTATTTTCTTCAGAAAACTTTGAAACAAAATCTCACAAATTGTGTCAAACTATGTGTGGAATTGAACATCTGTGTTCTTGCAGGTTATCTCTTTTAGATTCTGGTAAGAAGCTGATTTAGCAATTGTAAAGTTTTAGAGCATTTCTTTTTTTATGAAAATAATGATATTTCCATTTTATACTTTCTTAACCCCTTAACTGTTGCGGGCATATATATATATGCCTTGCTCAGTCGATGCGTTAACTGCCACGGGCGAATAGGTATGCCCTTCCAAACTGCTATCATTTGCTTTGCGCTGCTACCCGTAAAATGATTTGCAAAGCTTTGGAATGCAACACCACAGACCTTGACAAAGTATGCGAAGGAGGATATTATTTCAGAGAAGTGTGGGGAAAAATTTGAGAGAGGGGTGTGTCTAAAGTGATGAAAGTAATGACCGCACGGTATTAGTTGGTTTTGTTTGAGTAAAACATATTTTTTTTTTTAATTCTGTGTCCTCTGTTTCCATTTACTTTTTGTAGTAGGTTCCAGGAATAAAGAAAGATATAACGAATATTTCAGACCCATTTATCTTTTTTGAATTATTTTTTCATGAACTGCTCGTGCTTCATATTGTTACTCAAACTAACTGTTTTGTAGACGAGTATATGAAGCAACACCTTGGAAACGAAAAATCAAGAACAAAATCATGGCATTCAACCAGTTCAGAAAAAATATATGTTTTTTTAGGTGTACTGATTTCGCAAGGTCTAACACTGAAACCTGTTATTACACTTTACTGGTCTAAAAATGAATTGATCGAAACTCCATTTAGGGATCTTTTTTATTATAAAAACATCCTTTTATTATACTTTTACTCAAAACATTAAATTTTGTGCATTCATTTTTTTCTTTTGTTCTTTATCTTGTGAAAGTAAACAGTTTTTAGAAAGTAAAACTTGCACTTATTTTCCCCCTAATACATCACATAACTACGCGCGCCTGTGTGAAAAACCGTGGCACTGGGAAATGAATCTTGTACGTTTTCCGCGGCAGTTAAAGGGTTAATATAAAGTGGCAGATGAAAAATCTTGCATATAAAGTTTACTATCTGTTCTTCAGATTTTGTTTCTACTGATGTATTTCATCTAGCTCCCTAGGCTCTACAGAGGAAGCCTGTTGCTCTTTTTACATGTGTAATAGTAAAATATTTAAACCTTCAGCCTTTTAAGGCTGATGCTAATGACTTTTTATGTTGACTTGGGAGGGTGGGGGAAAAAGATAATTGGAATCAGTTTTATTCCAGGGTAAGGAATATTACAAAGTGATTGTGCGTCCTCAAGAAAAGTCCTCAAGAAAATACCCATCAATAGAAGAATGCAGAAGTAGTGTATATTTATTTGAGAAGAAAATTTTAATTTTCTTTTGTGTAATACATGGTTTTATTTTTTGAAAACATGGCACATTTCAAGACTGCAGGGTGAAAATAGGATGTACAAATTTATAAAGCTCAGCAAAGTAATGTTGACTATTATATATTAGTAATTCACAGCAATACATCAGTTGAAAAGATTTTCAGCATTGGCCAAAAGAACTGGACTCTGTCTAGAACTAATTTATTCAATGACCCACTGAATGCAGTTCTTGTTCTTGTGCATGAAGTGAAATTAAACACTGACAACATTTTCTACCACAATGAATTTAGCCGTTAAGAGATGTCTACAGCAAAACTTGCAAGAAAATTGATTGCAGTTTAGGGACTCTAACATGGGAAATATATCTAAATTTTTTAGTCCACTTTGGACTAAAGCTTTGTCCTTGAGGGATTATTGTTTTCGTGTTACGGTTTTGTGTTGAATCACTGTGAATATCCATTTAACTTTTCAAACTGATGCCACCAAATATTATTGCCCTGTATTATATTTGAAGAAATTAAATAACGAAGAATCTGCATGAATGTAGATATGTTTCTCGAACTGTGATAAAACGGTAACCTAGAGCATCAAATTTTGAATGACATAATCCTACTGCGAATATGGGCATCTGGAAGACCAAATCTGAAATATGGAATTTGTTTTATTATCAATTTTATATTTTGTAAAACTTTAATGAATTTGTGATTAACAAACTCAAGGATTTCAAAGCTAGCAATAGCAACATTATACAGGGAAAAAAAATTTATCTCCAGCGCATGAGACCGTGTATTGGAAGTTATAAAGGATATCCTCAATTTAAAATTATTTTGCGATATTGCTCTTGAACTGAATTTTATGGTTTTAGTGCGAAGAACATAATATTTCATAAAATAAAGGTAACACACAAAATGTTAAAAAAAAAAAAAGTTCCTTTGGACATAATTTAAAATCTGAAACCTTTCAGATTTTCTTTTATATATATATATTATATTTTTAATCTTCAACATATGTTACCAATAATTTTATTATATTTAAAATCTTGTTTCTTATGGAAAATTGCAAGTAATGTGCATTTTATATGGTGCAAAACTTAGTTTATGCTCTTTCCTGCTTTTACTCAACTCAGAAGAACTGCACATTGCAGTCAGTGAAATTTGAAAAAACTCAAATATTGCAGTCATAATTTATATG